CACTCCTTGGGTTTAAAGGTTATACTGCGTGAACCAAGGATTTAATCTGCACAGTCAATGAAAATGTGTCCATGGGCCAGGCCTGTCCAGGGGTGGCAACGCGGTTTCATGAGCAGATTTGCACCGGCCCGCGAGGCTTCGGCGTTTGCTCCTCCCAGTCACTCCGCTGCACACCAGGCAGGACGCAGGCCGGACACGGAAGGAAAGCTGACACTCCACGCCCTGCCACGCATAGAGGGCCCTGTGGGAGCAGCCCGACACAGACCACACTCGGCCGGATTCGAACCCTGGAGACAGGAAGCAGCTGGGAGACGGGCGGGCGGGACGCCGGGCGGGTGGGGAAAGCTGAGGGATAGAGCAAACGGTTGTAGAAGCAGAGCGATGCCTCACGTATCTGCGAATATGTGAGAAATGAAGGAAGTGCCCACGTCCAGCAAGCAGATGGTGATGTGTGTGTGTGTGTGTGCGTGTGTGCGTGTGCGCGTGTGTGCGTGTGCGTGTGTGCGTGTGCGTGCGCATTCCACATCGGTGAAGCTGGCCTCCAGAAGAGGCCTCTGTGCCTTGTGTGTGGAGCTGAGCTCATCAGCGCCCGGGTCCCTGGCCACATCTCTCCTAGCCCACTTACAGACAAGCCCTGGCTGAACCAGTCTAAACGGGAGGCGGGTCAAATGCTGAAGACACTGCGATCACCAGGAGACTTTCCCAAAGTGCCCTTCCTGCTCCTTCCCTGCTCCTCTTCCTCTCCCCCCCTTCACTCTGCCTTCCTTTCTTCCCCTACGATACTTTTCCTTCTCTCCCTCCTCTTCCTGTCCTCTCTCTGGCTCTCCTTCCTTCCCTCCCTCCTTACCTTCTGTCCCTCCTCTCTTTCCTTCCCTCCCTCTTGCCACCTCTCCTCCCCTTCCTTCTCTCCCTCCTCTCCTTCCTTCCCTCCCTCTTCTCCTTCCTTCCCTCCCTCCCCTTCCTTCCCTCCCCTTCCGTCCCTCCCTCCTCTCTTTCCCGCCCTCCTCCCCTCTTCCTTCCCCCTCTCCTCCCCTTCCGTCCCTCCCTCCTCTCTTTCCCGCCCTCCTCTCCTCTTCCTTCTGTGCATGGTTTGTGTCCATACACACCAAGAAGCCCCCTAAAGATTATAAATGGAGGCAGTCCGTCATTCTGTCCTCTCCAGACCTGGGGAAGGACGGGCAGCTGGATTCTAAATACCTTGCGGTCCCTGTCCTCCGTGGAGGCTCCCGTCTCCAGACACTGTAATCTTCGGGACGAACTTGGCGTGCAGCCTTCAGCTCGTGAATAGGCCTCTGTCTAGATCCTCATTGGAGGAATATACAAGCCAGGGCATGAGGCGCAGAGGTTCATCTGAACCCCTGTCCCGGAGCAACGCAGCCGGCCCAGGGGGCTTGTGTGCATAATGGAGTGCTCTTGAGAAAGTTCCTGGGGCCACAGTTTCTGCGCATTCTTAGCAGATCCAAAACGTCTCCTGCTCTGCTTGTGTCTTCCTCTTCCTCCTGGCGTCCCGCGCTGCCGCAAATGCAGCGCACACCCCGCGCTTGGCCACGGCCTGGGAGATGCCCGGCCTGAGGCTGAGGGCTTCGTGGCTCCTGCGTCTAAACCGAGGCAGCGGCAGAGCCCGGTCCGTCCCAGTCAGAAACTCCTTCTCGAGGGGATTTTCAGTAATGCCGGCTAATCAGCTTAAGGAGTTAATTAAACAGCTGTCACTTAGCTTCTTAATTCCGAAACTAGATTCTAAATAAGATTTGAAATTACTTATGCAACACTAAGAAGTACTTTTGTGATGTCAGGAGATTTCTGTAGATGCCCCAGACAAAGAAAATCTGATTCCCAGACCGCAGGAATCGTGGGTTGGTCCAGAGAAGTGGAGCAGGGTCCTGGGAAAGTGCTCACCTCGGTGCTGCTGATGACAGCAGGCTGGCAGGGTCTCCCGCCAGCCACGCCGCCCGCCGGGGGAGGGCCAGGCAGTGCCGGGAGAACTGTGGGGTGCATAATGCTCGGAACCCCGCTTCCCAGGTGCTCCATTCGGGCTCCGTGTGGTGTGCACAAAAGGCAGGCTGGAACTCGGAGTCGGGAGAGTTCACATAAATATACGGATTCCTGTGTGTGGGGAGAAGCCCGTGCCCCCAACACCTGCCCCTCTACTCGCTGTCTGCCACTCTCCCCCACGGGAGGCCCTGGGCCAGGAGTCTCTCCATACGCCCTCCTCTCTCGGTTGGAAGTGTTTCCTTGACAATATGAATGCAGCCAATAGAGACGCCCATCCTAAATGATGTGCATCGACCAAGTAATGGGAGAAAATAGAGGAGCTCACCGTTGTGGCATCATTGGCCCTGCCTCTGGGCAGAGGGGGTGGGTTGGGGCTGGGGTGAATAAATGAAAGACAAGGACAGGGTAATAAGCCATTATTCTGTTTATTAGGTTATCGATAGAAAGACCTGAAGTCATTAGGCAAGAGATGAAATGGCACCATCAGAAACTCAATAGGCAATATCCAGGACGGCTGTGTCAAGAAAGACAAAGCGCGCTGTGTCGGCGGCCTGGGGCGCACCTCTGCCATGCGGCCGGGGAAGGGAGGGAGAGGGGCGGCCGGGGAAGGGAGGGAGAGGCCGCTCTGCAGCCTCTGGTCGCTTACTTCTAAGAACTCAGCTCCTTAGAAAGCGACGCCATAGTTCAACAGCACCCGCCCAGAAGTGGGCACTGGAAAGGGGCAGGTGAATGAGGGGAACCCAATGCATCGCCCACAAAAGTAAGAAACGTGAGCGAAGGGAGGGGATGGGTGAGAGACTCCGCCCAGAGACTTGCGTTCGTAAACCGCTTTGCTAATGGCAGTGTTAGTGCTTCACTTAGAAAGAAAATGAGCATCTCAGCCATGCACACAGGCGACCGGGGTGGGGACGGGTCCTGTGGTCCGGTGTGGCCTCCACAAGGCAGAGCCGCCCGCCGGTCCCGGTGGAAACGCAGACAGACTTCAGGCTTGACCATGTGACATCTCTCCCCTCCTCCGAGGAGGGAGAACTATTACTGTATTCAGGGTGATGGCTGACCACGAATGCTCTATGCCAAGCCGGAGGTGCTGATGTGCTTGAGGATGAACAGGCCTCTTTGTAAATCTTGAGTGTGGCGCGGGTGTAAACCGAGCAACAGATCCGCTGGCTAGAGGAGGTGCCGGGCTGTGCGAGGTGACGCTGCTCTCCCGCTGGTTAGATCTAGCATTGCCGCGGCCTCTGTTTGACGTGGACGTGGTGAGGATCTCACAACGCATCGCCTCGGCAGTGTCCGCTACTATTGAGGGCTCATAGACAGAAGGCAAAGACAGGGTGACCCGTCACCACTGTATTTATTAGGCTATTGATCTTTGCTGGGAAGTGAAGACATTTGAGGAACCAACCACCGCTCAGAAAACACCAACAAGAGCACGTGGGGCACACGGGCTCTCCGGCTGGCTCCGGCTGCCCCTGCCATTTCCCCCCGCAATCTGATGGGCGCCTTGTCTGTCAGATACAACTGGTCCCTTCCGATCCAGAGAACCACACATGAGCCTTTCTCCACAGAAGGGGCATTGGACTTGGATTTTGCTCCTACAAAGAAAAAAAAAATTCTTTTTACCCCAAAATGCAGTGAAACCAAGATGGGAACTCACTGAGGAGAAAAGACCAAAAAAAAAAAAAAAGTATAAATGAAGGCTCCACTCGGGAAAGTTCCAGACTGGAGTCTTGCCTTTCAGAACTGAAATCATAAACACGCATATGTGTGTATACACACAATCACACGCAGGAGCTAAATAAAACAATCTCAGGATACAAGGAACCTCATCCTGTAAAGAAAGAATAAGGTGTTGTTGTTGGATACTTGTGTTTGTGCTGAGATTTGAACTCAAGGCCTATTGTAGGCTCTACTACCTGGGCCATGTCCCTCGGTCCTTTTTGATTCCATTGGGGTTTAAATAGGATCTGAGTTTTCTCCCTCGAGTTGGCCTGGACTGCGATCCTCCGGTGTCTGCTTTCCACATAACTGGGAGACAGGTGTACGCCACCCCAGTGAATGCTGTGAGGATTGGTGGTGTAATGGCTGCCCGCTGGCTTGCACACACGGGCCCTGCAGGATTCATGTGAAGAGCAAAGCCGCACAGCCCGGCCTTTCTCTAAGGGGGTGGTGGCCTCTTCCACCCGCAATCTTAGAGGGGGGCCAGCCGGGGGGGCTGCTGGCGGTGGCCGAGAGGAAGGTGCGTGTCTTGTTCTCAAAGGTGAGCTCCTAGGCTCCACAGGCCCCACCATTCAGACCCCGCCCCGAGCTCTTCTGAGTGGCTGAGGAGGAGCCCCTCCTGCTTGCCGTGGGAGCAGTGGCCTTTGCCCAGAGCCACGCCAGGGGATGGGGCTTCCCGTCCTCCGCTGGGCTTCTGATGTGAGCGCTTGATGCATGTGTGTGTCTCCACCAAAGGCTTGCCGGCCCTGTGTTCTTGCAGTGCTGGGAACGGAGCCCAGGCTTTGCCCGTGCAGAGCGAGCACTCGGCGCTCAGCACTAGCACTGTAGCGCGCGGCCACATCCTGTGCGAGCCACTGACGCATGGACTTGGATCTGTGATCCTGGGCAGAGTGCAAAACCTGTGTGTGGGACAAGCAGGATGGCGGTTCCTGTCTTGTCGGAACAGCTGCTCCGACACTTAGCAAAGCAGGGAAGAGGCGCCTGGCACACAGTTAGCTCTACGCACGGTTGGCAAACACAAGGTTCATCAGGAATTTGCTGCTGAAAATTAGGTGATGTCAAAAGGTGACCCCCTTGTCTGGTGTGGCCCTGGCCTTGGCTGGTGCGGCCCTGGCCTGGCCAGGCCGGGTGCAGGGTGTGGCCCTGGCCTTGGTTGGTGCGGCCCTGGCCTGGCCAGGCCGGGTGCAGGGCGGGGGGCCGGGGGGGGCAGACGGCGCTGGGGAAGGGGCAGGGCCCTGGGCGGGCGGCACTCCAGGGCGCCATGGTGGAAGGTGTGTGTGTCTGTCTTCCAGGAGGCGGAGATCCTGAACACGGCCATCCTCACGGGGCGGACAGTGGCCGTGCCGGTGAAGGTGGTCTCTGTGGAGGTGGACGGCACGGTGGCGGCGCTGCCGGAGGCTGTGGAGTGCAGGTCCTCTGACGAAGACGTGATCAAGGCAAGTCCCCAGCCGGGGCCCTGACGGAGAGGGGCCGGCGAGCGCTGTGACCGCGGCCGCAGCCGGGAGGCTTCCCAGCCCACGCCCAGGGCGGGGGGGGGGGTGCGGGACCCACAGCCCCCGGGTGGCGGCCCGGAGCGCCAGCGCGGGCGGTGCGCACGTCCACAAGCTGGGACTCGAGTCTGTGTGAAGTCAGTGAGGATCGGAGTCTACAGCCCTGCGCCGCAGCCAGGCTGGCAGGGCCCTGAGCCCTGAGTCTGCGGGACCGAGTGGGGCACGGCTCCTCCAGGGTCTCCTCTTTCCAATGGAATGCAAAGATGACCAGGACCAAGGCACCCGGGGCGGGGCCGGGCGGGAAGGGGCGCAGGAGGCCTCCGGGAGGCAGAAGGAGAGGCATCTGTGCCAACGCCAACATTCCCCAGACACCCGAGGCCGGGCAGACGGGCCGGGCTCCAGCAATGCCGGGCTGTGGAGCCGGGCTGCCTGCGGCGCCCCGCGCCTTCTCCCCAGCCCAGCCCTGAGCTGTGCGGTCCGGGTCCGTCCCTCCCAGCAGGCATCTTCTTCTCTGTGTTCAGAAGGCAGCCACCAGGCAGCTCCCGTGCACTTAGAAAACGGCCAACAAACACAATTCCATCCTCAGCAAGCGCCCGGGCCGTGCAGGATGTAGGGAGGCAGAGGAGACGCAGGCCAGTCCCGCCCCGAAGGAGCGCACCAAGGAGCAAGGCGTCGAGTGGCAGGGACACAAAGCAGGGCAGAACAAAGCACTTCAGCCTCCTTCTAGAAGCTTCTTCACACGACCCATTGCCATTCTTGCAGCTTCCCAGGCTCTGTTCCTGGCTCTTCTTTGATGATTTCTTTCTCTCTGTTGGTGAGTCCTTCACAAACCTCCAGGCCCAAGACAACACGCTGAGTCTCGAACATGTGTTCATCTGATTCTGGGAGGGAAGGGGAGTCATGGAAACGGAGAGACCAGGGACAGAGTGCGGGGCAGTGCAGCAGCGATACGCACGAGACAGCAGGTTGGACATGAGCTTCATAACTTGGGGGGCAGGGCGTGGTGGGGAGGGGAAGCGGAGAAAACCAGACAGGGGTAGCCCTGTTCAACCAGAGACGGACTCGTGACCTTGTTCCCGTGGCTGGAAGCCCTCGGCACGCCTCCTTCACAGTACACGAAAATGAAATTCTAAATCATTTAAAGGAAAAACAACCTCCAGGTCCGACAGTTCCGCTCTGGGACCCGCCTCCCCCAGGCCAGGCCGCCGGAGTGACCCAGGGGGGTCCTGGCCTCCCTGTCCCCCCCCCCCACAGCAGCCTCCAGGAGGACCAGGAAGCCCAGCCCTGCCATCCCGTCCCTCTCCGGGCACCGCGGCCCGCGCTCGCCGCTCTGCCTGCAGCACGTGTGCCTTACACACGTGACCCCGAGTGTGCACAGCAGGGAGCAAGAGCTGGCACCCGAGTCCGCCGCTCCAGTGCCGACCCAGCAAGTACTTCAACCCTGACCCCAGGGCCTTGCTGGTAAAGTACCCTGGAGCGAGCGCTGTGAAGAGTCCAGACCTGCGTCGTCTGGAAGATGAAGTCCGCTCCGCTGACCACTTGGAAATCACGTCTAAGCAGGAAAATGCCCTGACCCGTTTTCTTCTACGATCTAATTTCTTTTTTAATTAAGTAATTAATTATTGGCATGCCCTAGCTACAGAAAGGGCTCCTTTGAGGTATTTCCTCACATGTATGTGAGGTAACTTGATCATATCAACACTCCCTCCCCCTACCCACCCCTCAACAACCCCCTCTCCCTTACCATATGTGTATGCATAGATATACATATACATACATGTACACATATGATATAACGCACAAATCGCAGCTGCATCCCACACATGAGGTAAATGGACTGGCCTTTCTGTGTCTGTGCTGTTTACTTAACATCCTGTCTCCCATCCCTGTTCCTGCCAAGGACATCCTTTCATTCTTCATTATGGAGGAATAATACTCGTTTATGTGTATGTAGCACATTTTCTTTACCCGTTCCTCAGCCAATGGGCACTTAGACTATCTCATTGCTGGGCTATTGTAAATAGTAAGCCACAAGCATGGGTATGCAGGTATCTCTCCTGTATGCTGACTTCCATGGCTTCAGATGTAGGGCCATGTATGATGGGGTCACGCTGGATTACACAGGCAGAGTCTGAGGCTTCCTCCCCCCTCCCCTTCCCCCTCTCCCCTGCCAGCCTGTCCAGCATCTGTTGTTTGCTTTCTGTCATAACTGTCACTCTGCTAAGAGATGGGACAATGTCAGGGTATTTTGTAGCTATGGATGTTCGACATTTCCCCGTGTATTTATTGGCCATTCATAGCCCTTCTTTTGAGAAGAATCCATTCCATTCGCTTGCCGTCTATTAATTGGTTTATTTGTTCTTGGGGTGTTTAATTTCTCTGAGTTCTTTATGGATTCTGGATCACAGTTCCTTGGCTGATGAATAGCCAGGGAAAGTTGTCTGCGGTCTGTCTCCCGTGCTGATGATTACTTCCTTTTATGTGCAGTTTCTTGCTTTGATGCAATCCCACATGCCCATGCTTGCTCTCACTTCCTGAGCTATTAGAGTTCCTTTCAGCAAGTCCTCCCCTCTGCCTGCATCTTCAAGTGTCTGGCCACGAATCTCCTTTGTCAGGTCAGTTTCCTGTCTTCCCTTGTGATCTTTGATCTACTTTGAGTCCATTTTCCCACAGGCTGGGAAGGGGCCTATTTTCAGCCCTGGACAAGCAGAAAGCGAGTTTTCCCAGCGCCATTGGTTGAAGGGGCTGGCTTTTCTCTGTTTTTGAACCCTTGTGCAAGACCAGTTGGCAGTAGCTCTGTAGATTCATACATTTCTGGGTCTTCTGTTCCAGTGGATTATTCTACATATCTGTTTTTGGGCCAGTCCTGTGCTGTTTTTGTTACTATGGCTCGGGCATTGTGATTCCTCATCATTGCTCTTTATTGCTCATAAATGCTTTGGCTATTCAAGGTTAGGGTTGATTTTTTTTCTACCTCTGTTATAAAAAAAATTCATTGGACTTTTAGTCAGGATGCATCAGATCTCTAGGTCACTTTCAGTGATAGGGCAATTGGTTGTTGGTGGCGGCCGTGGACCTTGAACTCAGGGCCTGGGCGCTGTCCCTGAGCTCTATTTGCTCAAGGCGAGCGCTCCACCACTTGAGCCATAGCACCACTTCTGGTTTTCTGGTGGTTTATTGGAGATAAGAGTCTCATGGACTTTCCTGCCAGAGCTGGCTTTGAACCGTGATCCTCAGATCTCAGCTTCCTGAGTAGCTAGGATGACAGGCGTGAGCCACCGGTGCCTGGCAATATAGCGATTTTTACAATATTAATTCTGTCAATCTCATGATTGACAGGAGGTGTTTTCATCTCCTGGAGGTGTTTTTCCAGTTTCTTTCTTTGGGCTTTATGGTTTTCATGTTAGGAGTTTCTCACCCCTTAAGTTTATTCCAAGATAATTTTTTTAGGCCATTTTGAATGTGATCATTTTCCTGATTTCTTTTTCCACATTATCAGTATTGGGAAATAGAAAAGTTACTGGCTTTTGTATGTTGACTTTGTATCCTGGTAATTTGTGGAAAGTGTTGACCACATCCAAGAGAATTGTGGTGGTGGCTGTCGTATAAAATATCAGTATATGGTCATATCATCTGTAAATTGAGATAATTTGACTTCTTCCTTTCCTATTTGTGTCCCTTTCATTTCTTTCTCTTGTTCTGGCTAAGAAGTCAGGCACTTTATTAAATAAGAGTGGAGAGAGTGGACACTCTTGGCTTGTTCCTAACTTTAGAGGAAATGATTTCAATCCCCCCCCATTCAGTTAGCTAAAGATTTATATTGAGCTACATTTCTTTTATCCTGAATTACTTTGGAGATTGTCTCATAAGATTTTGTTGAAGGCCTTTGTGTGTCTATTAAGATGATTGTGTGCCTTTTGTCCTTAATTCTATTTATTGATTTGGACTGGTTGGCAACTCCTGCTCCCGTGGAGGGAAAACACCATGGTGATGGACGTATGACCTTCTCGGTTGTCAGCTAACGATTCCTCGCCACTTCTGTGATGGGTAGTGTTTATTTAAATTAGTAGTTCTTGGAAACAGGGCACTGCTGACTCACGCTGTCATCCCAGCTTCTCAGGAGGCTGAGATCTGAGGTTCACGGTTCAAAGCCAGCCCAGGCAGGAAAGTCCATGAGACTCTCATCTCCAATAAACCACCAGAAAACCAGAAGGGAGGGCAAGCCTTGAGCTGAAGAGCTGAGAGACAGCGCCCGGGCTCAGAGTTCAAGTCCCAGACCAATAAAATGTATTTATTTATTGAGTTCTTAGTAATATGGAAAAGGAGTGCCTGCCCTGTGTCAGGCATGCATTTAGGACATAAGTTGCCTCAGAACCGCAGGTAAGTCACCGCCGTGTGTGGTGGTGGCAGCGGACGTGATGGCTGGAGCTGCTGTTTTTCTGTGGGAGCGTTTGGCACGGTGACTTAGGAGTCGAGACTCCACCGGCGCTGAGGCCTACAGCCACCGCACACCACGCACCCTTCACATCCATCTGGCGTGTGACACACCTGCCGAGACCCACACCCTGTACATTAATTACGACGGGGGTGGGTAATTAGTATGCAGCCAGAGGCACGGTCCTGTCTCCCGATACAACAGAGCTACACTCTCACGTGGGGAAATGAGAGCAGAGATGTGTGTTCCGCTCCGGGTGCCGCGTTTTGCATATTCAGAGGCGTGCTCGTCCCGTGATTAGTCCATCAGAGCCTGGAAGTGTCTGTCTTGTACGCGGCGACCCAGAGTCTTGATTTTAATTTTAGGGTGATTATAGAGGCTTCTGCCCTCTTCCCTCAGGGGTGGCTCTTTGATTCAGAGGAAGGCAGGGAGGGAGGCGGGGGTGAGGCTCTGAGGCCTTTGCTGTGGTGAATCTTGGAAGGAGCTGTAGACACAGCAGCACATTCCCAAG